GTCACTTCCTGTTTCGTCGGAAATTACTAAAAAAAAATTTTTTAACCCTCGGTATTTTTTTACTTTATTCGATTGAAAATGACACTCTGAATAGAATGACATATTATATGTCACTCTTAATTTGTAATTAACTATATAAATGTATATCAAGACCAAGACCAGCGTTTGACATGGAAGGCCAAGACTGGGCCCTGCAAGACCAAGACCAAAACTAATTATTAATTGCATTAACAAGACCAAGACCAAGGAAGTCTTTGTCTTGGTCTCGCATTTGCTCATGACTTACGTTAAATGTCAAATTAATTACTCAAAATGTCAGTACTTATTTATAGCACATACCGGATGTGTTTAATAATTAATATAGTACATACAAAGAGTAGAGCTATGTTTTGGCACATATTTCATAGCTGTTATCAACAAGAATAACAAATATTTATTAGAGAATAAACATATATTTTACATAAATAAAATTAAATCAATAAATAATTATTATTACTGTAATGGCGTCATCTAAAAATTATACCAGATCGGTCATGGCCGACTTCAAAATTTCTATTAATTTATGTACAGTTACAGACTGTTCAAGTACTTTTATTTTGGCCAATAGCAATGAAAAAGGTTTTAGAAATAGGTCTAAATTACGAAAATCCTAGGGGTTTCTCTCTGTCATCGCTAAATAATGTTCGAAAAGGCAAAGAATCTCCAGCGCTGTCAAATATTGACAATAACTAGATAGCAAAAGAAGCAAAAAAAAAACATTAGTTCGCCACAATACACAACTGTTTTCAGTTTTAACCACCAATTGACGATGCTCTAACATTGGATAGTGAAACGTGCGTCCGGTTTTAAAAGTAGTGTTTTGGTGTTTACTAGTGTTTAGGTGTAAGTAGTGTTGATGTTGTAACACTAAAGGTTCTATCTCCAACTGCATTCAAAACTTGTTTGTTTTAAAATAATATGTATGTACATCTATAATGTACATACAACAAACAATATAACGTGCATATTCAAAAATATAAAGGTTTGAGACATTTTCTTTAGTAGTTGCCTATACAAGGTTAGTCTAAAGTAAGTACAAATATTTTCTTGACTAGATATGGATAACAGAAACATATTTTTCTTTGCCTTCAACAAAGTCCAAAATAACCGAGTAATTGAAGTTTGAATATTAAAAAAAATTGACATTTTTAAAAAACTCTGAGAGCCACCGGATTTTTGCTGCATTTGCATCGCTTTTAGTGCCGTAACCATAAACTAAATCCGTAATATCAGAGATTAAGGCTTTTTAGGATTAAAAAATTATACCATGGAAAAATTTGCGATGAACAGACAGTTCTAAAAAGTTTTCTAAAATATACAGAAAAATGTAAAAGAGAATGCATGATTTTGAACATCTTTTATTACAAAAAAACTTCACCGTCCCGGAGTTGAAATATACCACTCCTAAAAATATGTTTGCGCTTATTCAAAACTCACCCTATAGAGATAAATAAAATAAACGATATTTGATAACAAATTCTAAGGTGGCTATGGATGGATGAATACACGCAATGCTTTATAAGACTTTTTTGTCCAGATAATATTTAAGTCGACCAGCTAGCCAGCCGGATCTAAACGTATCTAAACTGAGAGTCAAGGATATTTATTGAAAATTGGTACAATATTTGCTCTTGATTTACTCGAAACGAATTTGTTAAATGGCGCATAATACGTGAAATTTTCTGGCCAAATTAATTATTGAACATGTACCTACCTACTATCTCAGGAAATTCTTGAATATACAAGATGAGTTTTAAATAAGTGCAAATATTTTCATGCCTGGTGGATCCCGATAAACGAAACATACATATTTGCTCTTTACCGTTTTTCAAATTAGTCCAAAATAACCAAGTTATTTTTGGAAATTAAAAAAATAAAAAAAAATTTCTTATGTTTTGAGACCTACTAATTTTTCCTCAGTTTTCTTTCTTATAAATTTAATCTATTAATTATTTTGCCATATTATCAAGATATGTTTTTTAAATTAAAATTAAAAAAAAATATTATTTTTTCAAAAAATTCCAAATTTTCAAAAATAAATTCCGAGTCGAAATATACATCAAAAAATATTTGCACTTATTTAAGAGTTACCCTGTATAGCCCTATATAAGAAAATAGGAGGAAAACGGAGAATAAGAAACTTGTCTCACTTCGTACAGAGTAGATCTAGATGTCATTCGAGATGTGTTCGATTTTTCAGAATTTTTTTTTATTTTTTCGAGAAGAGAAATTTGCGATTACTCGGTACATATCTTCAAATGGTTATGTTATGCTGTGCCAAAGATAAGTCTAACTATTCTGATTTTTTTTTAATTTCTTGGGATTTAGGTTCGGGAAAACTCTGATTAAGTTTTCATTATCTTTATTTGGTTTTTAAAGGAAAAACAAACGTTTCGGCTAACGTTATAGCCTTCATTAGTGTAGTGTTGAAGGCTATAATGTTAGTTTGAAGATTAGTTAGTTAGTTTGTTGGCTTAAAAACCAAATAAAGATAATGAAAAACCAAATGAAAACTTAATAAGAGTTTTCCCGAACCTAAATCACAAAAAAATCAAAAAAATTCAGAATATTTGGAAACAAAGTTCAAGACTATCAAATTTTCCAAGGATAAGTCTAACTATAACTTTCTTTGCCTGAACTTAGAAGAATTGTAAGATAAAAGTTGTTTCCTGTAGCAGCATAACTTATTTCATTAGTCAGTCGACTTACGATGAATTTTAAGAAACTCTTGAAAAAGGCCTAAAAAGCCGAATCTTATGTAAAGGTGATCACCGATTGGCGTTTCCCAGCCATCTTTGACACCGTTTTTTTTATATACGGTACTTTGTAATAACTATGACATATTTTGCTCGTGGCAGAAAATTTGATATCCTAATAAGTGGAGGATAATAATTTTACCTTTACCTTAACTGGTTTTGTAAAAAATATAAAAAATGAATTATTATAAAAGCGTTATAATAAAAGTAGATTAAATCTCATTACTGTAATATTGACATAAATGAAACAAAACTCAATGACATCAATATTTAATATATGTTTTTTTTATAATAAAGTTCTGATGTTCTTAAGTTTTTAATAATTTCTTTAAAAAGTTTCTAACTATATTTCTGCATCTACTATGTTACATCACCATTAAAAATAAAGTTACTTAATAATTTTGATAACAGTAAAATTAATTTAATCGACAAATTAATTAGATTAGTATTTTTTTGCGATAAAACCATAAATATATGTATATAGATCGTGCTCCAATGATAATTTTGTTATGATTTAAGTTTAATGATCTTTAGATATAGGAAATAATAATGTCATTTCCTAGTACGACCAGCTTACTTCGTAACAAGCAAATGAGTAGGTATTCAGATTTCACAAAACACACAAAATTTTATTTAAAGATATTGTGAATTAACGTGTTAACGTATTTAGTGTTTTGTAAATATTTGTCTCTTAATGGTAATCATAATCATATTATTTTAGAGATACAACTAATTTACAGAGCTAAGAGCTAATAAATAAAACAAATTTTCATTATATAAAAATATTTTATTTCTTAATTTGTATTAATATTTTATAGATAAAAATTAATTAAATTAAAAGTATTAGTAAATGAAAGAAGCGATTTCAAAATTTATCTCTATTCCATCATTAAATGCAATGAAAAAAGTTAAGACAATTTTATTGTTAGACTTTTAGATTGGGGACATCACAGGAAATAAATATTAAAAATTATGAGACTGTTATTGTAACTAAGAAATATTAAACTAGTGTATATACAGGGTGAATCTTAAATAAGTGCCAATATTTTTATGGGTAGTAGGTATATTTCGAGCCCCGAAACACGTCTATGAGGTTTTTTCGATGACAAAAAAAATTCAAAATTTAGAATTTTTTAAAATGTTTAGTTAAAAAATATAATATATTCATAATATGGTAACATAGATAGTACTTTAAATTTACAAGCAAGAAAGACCAGAAAAAATCCAGTGGTTCTCAAAATTTAAGCAAAAAATTAATTTTCCTTGAAATTTTCAAAGTAAAATATCCCGTTCGTTTGAAAAACGCTGAAGAGAAAATATGTTTCTTTTATCTAGATTTACCACCCCTGAAAATATTTGCACTTATTTAAGACTCGCCCTGTATAGTTATTTAAATCTAGTACCTATAGTTTAAAATCAATAAAATTGAAATATATACATTGCAAAAGAATATTTATTTAATTTTTATCTCGATATGGTACCTTAACTTTAAATACTAAAAATACAGATCTAATAAATAAAACAAATTATCATTATTTTTAAACGAAAATATTTTATTTCTTCATTTATTTAAATGTTGAATACAAAAAAATAAGTAATACAAAATATAAAGTGATTTCAAAAATTATCCCCATTCCATCATTAATTTGAGCGTTAAAATACATCAAATTTTGAATGTGTATTTTTCAGTTGGAAATATGAGGCAAAAATGTAGAAAATAAATATTAAAACATAAGAAACAGTTTAACTAAAAATAAAAAAAACGAATAAAAGAATTTGGAATAGAGATAAAAATGAAATACACACCTTATAAGTAGTAAATCAACACAAAACACTTTGAAGAAACAAACACAAAACGTCGGCTCGGCTAGCCCGAAGGTCACCGCGGGAAAACGAAATGAAAAGCAAAACACCAGGCACCGGAAAACTCGTCCAAGGCTCTCATAGTACGGCTTTGACCTTGATCTTGATACTGGCGAGTCCCCGTCGAAAGAGGCACACAAACACACGAAATGCGACGATACTCTCAGGTCCCCCTAACAGCGCGGATTGAATGAATGAATCGGGTACCACTACGAGCATTGGTAGAATTACCGGTACGACCGTTGATTGGTGCGGGGTTCGCTCCTCCTAACCGACACAACGCGGTCTCTCCCCCACCTGCGCATTCGCCTCAGTAGTAGATTGATGTATAAAAGCAGAATTACTACAAATATCACATCAATAGATATATCTCGTGCACACTCGAACACTGTTGAAAAAATCGCGCGCAGTGCACCCGCAAAAAATCACTTAACCAAACATGTTCGTGTACAGTGCCTCGATGCTGTGGAACGCGTTGAACGAAGGCGCCACCAGAAAAATTCTCATAGTGTTCATCGCGGTCCTGCTCCTGGTACGATCCCTGCAATCGTGGCTGGAGAGCAGGAGTCTGCCTCCGGGACCGTGGGGACTGCCGGTGCTCGGATCCCTGCTCAAAATTAAGGGGGACCTGCATCTGTTCTACAGAGACTTAACGCACAAATACGGCTCGCTGATCTCCACTAGGCTCGGGTCGCAGTTGATCGTGGTTCTGAGTGATTACAAGATGATCAGAGATGCTTTCCGCAAAGAGGAATTCACCGGCAGGCCGAACACAGAGTTCACCAACATCTTGGAAGGTTACGGTAAGTCCTTAGATTATATAAATAAATGCATACGATTGACACACTTTGACGGCCTTCGATGGACATCTCGTATTGTACGTTGAGTAAAAGTGATCAGCTATAAATTTGATAACGCTATCAGTACTAACCCAGTTTTCGTTTCTCAACTGCGAGATAAAAAATAATGCGTATACGACCACAGCTTTGCGGATTTCAGTTGGGCTTGATTTTTTCTTCCATTAAAAAATTAAATACAATAAAGTATCACTTGAGAATACTTTAAAAGTAGTACGTTATATTATTTACTCAGTTAAAACGCTTTGTTTATTTATGCTAAAAAGATTCATTACAGCCTCGTTAGCACCAAACTTTTTAAAGAATATACTCACAAAAAACACCTCTTTTTGTGTCATACTAATCTACTTGAAAAAAAATCTTTCCAAAGAATACTAAATACCAAAACATTCAATCACTGTTAGCCATTATGCTTTTGTATCTTCACTAGTACAGAACTTTTTTTCATACTAATCTACTTGAATTAAAACAAAATAACAGTAAAAAGTACTTACTTTTTAAAAGTGATCAATAATTGACCAACTAATCTATTTGAAGTAAAACATACATACTAAATAAAGTACTTATTATTTGTAGGTGTAATCAATACCCAAGGTAAACTCTGGAAAGACCAACGAAGATTTCTTCACGATGGTCTTCGTCATTTCGGCATGTCGTACCTGGGCTCGCGAAAAGCCCAAATGGAGCGCAGGATCGTGAGCGAAGTGGACGATTTTCTCACCATTCTGAAAGCAAAAAAAGGTCAAGCCATCGATTTGAACCCCGTGCTGGCCGTTTCGATCTCGAACGTGATTTGCGACGTCCTCATGTCGGTGAAATTCTCCCATAATGATGCGAGGTTCATCAGATTTATGGAACTCATCGAAGAAGGATTTAGACTGTTCGGCTCCTTGGAATATGTATTTTTTATTCCGATTTTGAGATATTGGCCTGGACACAGCTATACTCGTCAGAAAATCACGAAGGTGAGCTTGAAAAATAATTCACTTTCGCTTTTGGCGCTGTAATTTTATCGTTTGTTGGAAATTATGTTAATCATCAAATGCAGTTAGCCTTGACCTTAAATCGCTGAAATTGTTATATAAATTCCATCTTTTTTCGTTATTATTCAAATATATCAGAAACTGAAAATATATTTTTTTCTACTTTACTTATTCGAATATGTTGTTTTCAGAATCGAGAGGAAATGGCTCAATTTTTTCAAGAAACAATTGACGAACACAGAAGGACATTCGACCCAAGCCATCTTCGCGATCTTTTAGATACTTACCTGTATGAAATCCAAAAAGCCAACGAAGACGGTGTAGGGGATCACCTTTTTGAAGGAAAAAATCACGGTAAGGAACAAATCGACAGTCAAATTTTATAAAAAGTTACTCATTTTATTCAAAAAAATGTTACCTACTTGTCAAAAATTGCAAATAATATAAAATATTTTTCTTTTTAAAATACAGATCGTCAAATGCAACAAATAATGGGAGATCTATTTTCTGCTGGTATGGAAACGATCAAAAGTTCCTTGCAATGGGCTGTTCTCTTTATGCTACACAATCCCGAGCATATGAAAGCCGTCCAAGAAGAATTGGACCAAGTTGTTGGTCGCCACAGGTTACCAAAGTTAGAAGATCTAGCTTATTTACCGGTTACCGAATCCACTATCTTGGAGGTGCTCAGAATTTCAAGCATAGTACCAATGGGAACTACTCATGCACCTATTAGGTTAGTAGTTTTGATTTTAAAAATTCCGTATGTTTTTTTTGATGATTTAAATTCGGTTGGAATAGAGACCATTATTTTTTATAAGTGGTTATAGCTGTAATAAATAATTTAAATTCACACCTGCGAAAAAAGTGAAAGTCCTTGTAAGCCTAAAATTCATTTATATATATTTTTCGGTCGATGAACCTACACTGCGGCACTCTGTCAGACGATTTCTTAAACAAATTTCGTAACAATACGCAAAAAGACTCGTTAATATTGTATATACCAGTTTAATGTACGCAACAGCAAGGGTTTTGACCTGCCAAAAGAGCGTTTATGTAACCATCACCGTATTTAACTCCATATTTACTTGTTTCAGGGATATCAAATTAAACGGGTTCCTATTACCGCGCCACGCGCAGGTGGTGCCGCTATTGCACGCCGTCCACATGGATCCCACTCTCTGGAAAGAGCCAGAGAAATTTGATCCATCCAGATTCATCAACGGAGAAGGAAAAGTACACCGACCCGAATTCTTCTTGCCTTTCGGAGTAGGTAGAAGAATGTGCCTGGGAGAAGTACTGGCCAGGATGGAAATCTTTCTGTTCCTGTCATCGTTGCTCCACTCGTTCGACGTGTGTGTACCCGAAGGTGATACCTTGCCCAGCCTAAAGGGTATCGTGGGTGTCACCATCAGCCCTACTCCATACAAAGTATGTTTGAAGCCCAGAACGATAGGATGGGACAGTGATGACGCAAACTTACGGCCAGCTGGAAGTCACTAACTTCTTGAACGGCGTTCAAGAGCACGGTCATAGAGTGGTTCCTAAGCGAGGCACAGTACTTAAATCAGAATCAAACATAAACTTTTTATTTTCGAAACGATCTCCGATGCAGGTCGGCTGTGCGTTTAAAGTGTGTTCATTTTCACCGCCCTTAGTATTAGATATATCTTAGTACAATTGCTAGTCAGGCATGTTCATCATATTTTTACCTTGTTTACAATTCCATACAAGCCATAGGTTTTACCATTTTGACTTGATCGTTATTAGAATATTATGTATATTTTGTTTTTATTCATATATAAAAATTGAGTGGGGTTGTGAGTGCTACTTTGTTACCGAATTTAAACCATATTTTTAGTTGTAGACTTTATTTATTGTAAAGTAATAAGGATGGGTTGGTTTCTTATAGAAATCACTATTATTCTCCACACAAATCATTTCACCCGTATTCATCTTCATATATTTGTTAATGTTCGCAATTGTGCTTAAAACAATTCCATTTTTTAGAGAGCAAGACTTTATTTAAATTTTTGTTATTTTAATGAGTTTTAATAAAATATAAGTTAAAATAAATTAATTTATTATATTCGTATTTGTTTTATTTTTAATCCTAAAATTGATTAATTTTCATATATTTTTAATATCGATACCAAGGTGAACATCATAATATAATATTATTATTGTTAGCTTGAGCAATATAATATACATCAGAAAGAAAATACTTTTTTAGCAACTATACATGGTGATCTAGTGTTCCTACAAAGCTCTATATCGGGTTTCCTATTTGGGATTTTAACTTCAATCCTGTTTGTTAAATTGAGAGCAAAAGTTGCATTTCGAAGATGTTTTCATAGATATACAAGATGAATAAAATATACCTATTTTCACTATTATTACCATTGTCGTAAACATTATCGTTTGTTTTTTGAAATAAGGGCTCTTATAATTAAAAATCGCAAATAATTTGATGCTTTTCACCTGAAAATATTTTCTGATAGTGCCTACTTCAAAACTAATCATATTAAAATAGATTAAATGCATGATATATACAGAGTAAGACAAAAGTAGATATAATGTTATTCTCCGCTATTTCTAATGGACAAATACACTGTGTTTGATATCATAAAACAAAACTGCTTTTGTCCAACTTTACAGCAATAAAAAATAAAATTATTAATATAAATGGATAATGAACGTAATGATTAAAATTGTATTATTGTTAATTATTACATAAACAGATAAAACAACATGTATAGACTATCAAGCTAGAGGATCCATGACAGTGACAGTTGTGCCTGCTATTTTAATTCACAGGCAACAAATTATACACTCACCGGCACGAAAAATGGGCACCTTAAAATTTTGATGTTTTTAAAGTTTTATATATTTTATTCTAGTGGACCGATTTTAATGATTTTTTAGCAATATGTAGCCAAATTATTTGGCTTTTTAAAAAAGTTCCCGACATTATACGAGGGAAATTAAAATGTTGATATTTTGATGAAGGTTAGAAACACCCTGTGGAATATGTTAACAAAGCAAGGCATTTAAAAATTTTATTATGCCATGCGTTTGCTTTTAGTCCTAGTCAACAGTAAGTTGTGGTCTCAAAGGGGACCTTCTTGACATAACCTTCTTACATGTACAGCTGGTTCCAATAAAATTGAATACGATTTAAAACATATTTTTATTATTTCGAGCAGTATATTCTATGATACCAGTCCCCCATTTCTCTACTCATGTCATACTGACATTCTGAAAAATTTATTTGCCACTTTGTCAAAAGCAAAGTTGTTTTATTCAATGTCACAATAACCTTAACATGTCAAAATACTTGACACATATATAATACTTGATACACTGCTCAAATATTCGAAAAAAATGTGTAAAGAGTCGTATTCATTTTTTTTGGAACCAGCTGTACGTTCCTTAGGTTCAATTTATTATAAATTTGAAAGCTGACAAACGGCGGTATTTTAGCGATAAACTTAAATTAGTTGATGGTCTCGATTCGAAGTTATCATAGGAAGGTTCCTGGACGTCTACCATATGAACTTGTCTCGAGAAAGCGAGTGCACTATACGTCGTGCACACCTAAATCTATTAGCGACATAATTTTGATTTCCTCCATCTTTAATAATTGAAGATGGCTTTAATTATTTATTAAAGCAACTATAGCGAATAAAATTCGTGGACTTAAAACTATATCTGCTAGAGTAACTGCCCAACGGCCAACAGACCATAATAATATTATTTTTCAGTAACAGTGACATTACATAAATCATAAAAACTATTTCATAGATCTGTTGACTGGGACCAAAAACAAAGATACGGTTTTAATAAAAAAAACTACGAAAAAATGTTAGTGTCTTCTTCAAAAGCGAATATCTCCAAAAAAAAATAAAGCTAATTGAGATGAACCAAACAATAAACTATCGAGAAAAGATACACCTAGATGATTTTTTAACATATTTCAGGGGGTATTGCAAACTTTCACCAAAAAAAAAGCATTTTGTTTTCCCTCGTATAATTGACTGATAGGAACTTTTATTTTTAATTTAGAAAGAGATATTGAAAAGTCAAATAATTTTGCTACAAATTGAATCTATCTAAAGAATCATCAAAATCGGTCCACTAGAACACAATATACAGGGTGAGTCTTAAACAAGTGCAATTTTTTTAGGGGTAGTATATTTTGACCCCAGATATACGATTATGATGTTTTTCGCGAAAAAAAAATATCAAAATTTGGATTTTTTTGAAAATGTTTTTAGTTTTTAGTTAAAAAAACATAATTTGTTGATAATGTGGCAACATAGGCAGTAGATTAAATTTACAAGAAAGAAAATCCAGAAAAGATCCAGTGCTTCTCATAATTTTAAAAATCATTTTTTTTTCGAAATTTTCAAAGTAAAAGAACTCGGTTATTTTGGATTTATTCGAAAAACGGTAAAGAGAAAATATGTTTCTTTTATCGAGGTCTACCAGCCCTGAAAATATTTGTACTTATTTAAGACACACTGTATAAAACTCTAAAATACATCAAAATTAAAGGCGCCCGTTTTTCGTGCCAGTATTTTCTGTAATTTTTTGAATTTCGTTTATAGAAATATCCTGGCTCCTTGGAGAGAATTTTTTGTATATTACAGAAAAAATAGGGTAAGCTCAGTGTCAATTTATTGAAATAATAGAAACATATTATCAAAAATGCAAAAATTTATTTTAATAAAATAATTAAAAGGTACAATTATATTAGTTCATTTCCGAATCTAAAAAATAAAGCTTATACGATTTTGGTGTTAAGGTAATTCCCGCCTCACCCTCCATACTGACATTATCTTTATCACCTAATTTCAACTTGAACGACTGCAAGATTATTGCAGACGAAAAGAACAGGATCATTCTTGCTAATTCATCTCCAACGCACATTCTTTTACCTAAAATATATCTGCAATAAATAGAATGAATCTTTGAAACAAGTTTGAAATACTTTCCATTCTGAAAAGGAATAAAATGATCCGGTTTATAAAACTTTCCTTCATCGTTTATAAAATTATTGGGATTAAAAACTTCGGGATCGTGATACTGTTCTTCATTTTGATGAACTGCCCACTGTAGTGCTACAATCATTGAACCTTTTGGAATTATGTAGTTGTTAATTTCAATGTCCTCCAAAGCACCATGCGGCATACCTAAGACATTCATTTTAGACAGTAGAAAATATATATTAGTTGTATTTACCTAAAGGCACTACAGGCCGAATTCTTTGAGTTTCGGCAATACAAGCTTCAACAAATGGCATAGAAGATATATCATCAATAGAAGGAAAGCGACCATTTAAAACAGTATTGAGTTCTATTCGGAACTGAGTTTGTGTGTTTTCATTTTTTGCCATATATAGTAAAAACCATCTAAAACGTTAAAATCTGATAATGAAAAAGAAAAGAAATTCTTTTTAAATGATGCGATTCATCTTAAAGCGGATATCCACCAAACGGACAAAAACGCAACAAAACAGACATTCTGTTTGGTGAACAGCAACGACTGGTGTTTCCAAAATAATGAATATTTTGGATATTTCGCCGTCTACTGTTTCGGTCAAAATAAAAAAAATACACTAAGCTCCGTCCCAGGGTTTCTGTATTTTGTCTATGTTTTTGTAATCAGAAGAAGGATAGAAACAGTGGAAACAAAGAGTGGAAAGAGCACTGAGCTATCCAGTAAGTTTCTTTTATCTATATTCTGTGCGTCATCATCAGTTCCAAAATACATCGTAAATTCATCACGGTTTTACTAGTTTTTTAAACAGCCGCCAGTGACCCGAAATCTCAATAATGTTCTTCGTTTTGGAAACTCCATTTGCTATTTTGTTGAAAACGACAGAATATATATTTTCTCGCGTGACGATGGCTGTTAAACGTGAACAGTTTATTTTAAGGTTGGGTACAAAATTTATTATTTATACACAAACTATACAGGGTGTCCCAAAAATAAGTGCAAGTATTTTAACTGCTAGTATAGTTCAACCCCAGAAACACGCCTATGAGGTTTTTTTCGCGAAATTTTTTTTTTGAAAATTCGCAATTTTTGAAAATTTTTTTGGAAATTTTTTTAGCTTTTATTTAAAAAAAATAATTTCTTGATGAAATGGCAACATATGTAGCAGATTAAATTTACAAGAAAGAAAATCGAGAAAAGATCCAGTGGTTCTCAAAATTTTATCAAAAAATCATTTTTTGGGAAATTTTCAAAGTAAAATAACTCCGTTATTTTGGACTTATTTGAAAAACGATAAAGAGAAAATTTATTTTTATTTTTTATTTTTTGGAGGGACCAGTACCCTTGTATTCCTACGTATCGTATCTTCTCTATCGTATATTGTATCCCTGTGTATTATCTTAGTATGTTTACCCACAATGTTAACTTCATAATATGTTTCTTTTATCGAGCTCTACCACCCCTTAAAATACTTACACTTATTTCTGGGATACCCTGTATATTTGTGACAACTAATACACAGGATCTCTACTACCAGAAATCAACAGAAGAATTAAGTTAGCATGGAGTACTTAAGGAAGAAACTCAATCATATTTAAATCTAGAATGCCACTCTATCTAAAGAAGATAACGTTCGACCAATATGTACTACCAGTCATGACCTATGCATGCGAAACCTGGAATCTTAAAACGGGCATCATAAGGAAACTGTAGGTTGTACAATGCTCAATGGAACGAAATATGCTGGGAATAACCAAGAGAGACTAATTCTAAAAGAATAGAATGAATACGACAAAAGATACGGGTAGGTAATAGATGTCATCCATAGAATCAATTTGCACTGCGAACCGATTCTTACAAGCGTTTGTAGGTTTTGCTGATCCATGAGTGTAAGCTTAGATATTTTTATTCTAATGCTATATAGAATACTAGTGCATTTTTCTTCGCCGGGCACTGCTTAATGGTGATCACCAATAAAACATTGATGACGCTGACTCTTTTTGATTTTGTGTTGACTATCTACTAACGGTAAAATTTCGAACTTGAAAATAATCTACAGCATTTTATCTTGGCTTATTTACCTACAAATATTTTGTCTATACGTTCTATAATTAACGGTTCCAGATTCATAACCGACGTCCTTTCTTATTGGACTACCCTGTACATAATATTTCTAATTGCATGCTTTCGTTAAAATTTATTATTAGAGAATTAAATATTTAATTCCATTGAAAAATATATTTTATTCTTTCGTATCTCTGACTGTTTGACCTAAAATTTACAAAATTGATACATGTGTGATTTGGATAACATGTATAACATGTATATTACAGGTTTGGGATAAGAATAATAAAATTATTATTACAAAAATCATTAATACATTTATTATGAAATTAAATGGAAAACAAGAAATATCACGGATTACCAAAACGGAAACAATTACGTTTACAACAGGTCGTTAAAAGATAATATTTTGACAAAACAACGATTCATATAAAGAAATGATAAAATGTGTTAATATCATTAAGTAAACACTCTATCGAGAACACTCTATCGAGCAACGCTTTTAAATATTGATTACAAGAGAGTACCTCAATAATGTTTTTGGTTAAACACAGCTTATTAAATATTCAGCAGAATATATAATCTGTTTATTTTCTAGGATTAACATGTCACTCGTACTCGACGTGTATTAGAAACCATCTGATTCGGGTGCCTAGCATTCTCACATGTTATCAATCACAATGTGGATTCTAACTTCATTTTGGGTTAGCTCGAAACAACAAATTCTGAGTTTTTCTCAGATAATAATTCCAGATTCCTCAGCCATACATCTAGTTTTTCTTCTGCCAATTCCTCCTTTTATTCAGAGAGACCGATACTGTGTATACCTATTCCAGCTTCCTTTCATTAAAACTTCTAATGAAAGGAAGCTGCAGGTTGTCTTGTGTACTTTTCTTGCTACAAATGGAAAATAACGTAACCTTTATTAAATTGCGGTATTTTGAACAAGGCGTTTAGAATCCTACAGGAACGGATATTTTTCATATAAACTAATAGGTAAACTTTGAAATTTGTTGAAATTTGCGCATCCATCTGGCTATGATTTTTAGTGTTTCTTCCATAGTCTGCGTTAAGTCGAAATCGTTTATTTTTTTGATCCATTTAGTTTGTTCTTGTTCATCGCTTGTATCCCACCTGGTATAGGACGTTCTACAGAGTTAGCCCTGGGGACCACCACCAAATACCTTCCTTTCATCCTCTCTGTTCTCTGAAATATATATCTATGTAATGTAGAATGTAGAATGTTTAGAAGGGGAGTTAATCACCGCGACCTTACAGATCTATTGTGTGTTCCCCTTTCTTGAGTTATAACGAGTTATAACTCATCATACAGTCTCAGGGCTTTGAGAAAAGCCAGTATCTGAGACGGCTCCACAGAGGCCAGCTCTCCATCCTCGACATCAGACGTGCCAAAGTTCATGGCACGAATGGTTGTCGTCTCGCGCACTCAGTGATAAGGTGTTCTGGTGTTTCCCATTTTCCCCACAAAATCTGCATTCGCCGTTGTTTCTCAGTTTCAGCCTACTGAGGTGTTCGTTGAGGAGACAGTGTCCTGTTAGAAACCCCGTGACAATCCGAAGATTGTTTTTACTTAAATCAAGGAAAACCTTTGATTTTTCTCGGTCATAAGTTCTAAGGAACTTTTTCGAGTGTCTTAGACCGTTGGAGGACACCCATTCCAAGTTACGGATGGAGTCTTCCAGATTCTTCAGTTCCGCTTTCAGTTGGTTCCCGTTTGGAAAACAGAACGGTTCTGGTCCAGTTAGTGGAGTGTTCGCTCCTTTCCTAGCTAGATCATTTGCTTTTTCATTGCCTTCTATCCCTTGGTGAGCAGGCACCCAGAGTAGGAGGACTTTATTTTCTTTGCCTAATTTGTTGAGCTTCTCTAGGCATTCTTTGACCAACTTCGAATTGATGGTTACTGAGTTGATCGCGTTAAGTGCTGCTTGACTATCGGATAGGATGGCAATTTCCTGTTTTCGATAGTTCCTATCCAAGATAAATTGTACGCATCTTTCGATAGCGCAAATTTCTGCCTGAAGGATACTGGGGTAGGTGCCCATTGGTTCGGAGTATTCAGTTTTCGGCCCAAATACTCCTATCCCTGTCCCTGCTTTGGTTTTGGAAGCATCAGTATACCACGTGATGGTATGGTCTTTTATATGCTGAGTAAGCGTTTCTTTCTTCCAATCCTTTTTATTACTCAATACTACAGTGAGGTGTTTCTCAAAGTTGTAAATTCTTGGTATGTCATCCACTGGGAGTTGGAGAAGTGGAATTTTCTTTTTGAGGGTGTTCCAAGCCCCTGACCTGAAAATTCTCCCAGTACTGTTTCCGTCAATGACCATTCTAATCATTGTCGCATTGGCATAACTACCGACGACAATATGCAGTGGTGTTAGGTCTAGAATGACCTCCATTGCTGCTGTTGGACATGTTCTCATGGCACCTGTGATGCAGATACATGCCAGTCTCTGTACTTTGCACAGGGTTTGCCTTGCTGTACGTTGCTCTAGTTTTGTATACCAAGCAACTGCTCCATAAGTAATCATGGGTCTTACTATCATGGTATACATCCAGCGCAAAATGTTAGGGGCGCAGCCCCACCTATTTCCCGCCAGTCTTCTGCATATCATGAGAGCCTTTGTGGCTTTGCTGGTAATGTTCTTAATATGCCTGTTCCAGAGAAGTTTACTATCCAGGGTTATTCCCAGATATTTCACTTCCTGTGATGGCAGTATTTCCTTTCCATCTAGATGGATTCTTTTCAAGTTTTTCAAACTTCGCTTTCTGGTGAATGGCACTACTGCGGTTTTATCTGAGTTAATACTCAGCCCGACAGTCCTGCACCATCTCTCAGCGATGCGGAATCCTCTTTGGATAATATCACACAGGGTGCCTTCATGTTTCCCCTGTGCAATGATGACTATGTCATCTGCGTACCCTATGCAGTGTATTCCCGCTAGAGTTAATTCTTCCAGTAGTTCATCCACTACCAGCTCCACAGTAGGGGGGAGGTCACTCCACCTTGTGGAGTTCCTTGCGTTGTTTTAACAACTACAGTTTTGGTACCTATCTCAGCCTCTGCTGTTCGTGTTGAGAGCATTTCCCAAAACCAGCGAATTATGGTACTGTTCGCCCCTCTTGTTTCAAGAGATCGCTTGACCACCTTGTGAGGTATATTGTCAAACGCCCCTGCATATATATATATATCTATGTAAACTAAAATATCTATATACACTCTGGTCCGAACGTCATCCAGTGTCAACGTTGAAAGCTCAACAGCCCGAATTTGCCAATTTTTATACCAATGCCTTTTGTTTAAAACCCTGAAAATCAGTTCCGCGAGTAACCACAAGTTTTTGTAGTGCAAATTCCTTTTGAAATTCATAATATAATAAGATAAAAATTGGAAATTAGCGTTAGAAGAAAAATATTGAATGGATATAAATAAACACAGCCACATAAAATCTGTCTCAGAGATGACGTAATGCGCCCATTTCACGCAATTTGAATGTAGCGTACGAGTTAAGTGTATACTGGCTTCATTTAAAGTTAGTGCACTAAGTATATTATAATTACTAGAATTATCGATTTGCAGGTAACTAACAAGTCTTAGTATATTATAGACAATGGGGAATTATCTAAAATAAAATATCTTTTTGGTCTGAAGATTGTCTTAAATATTAAAGGCTTTAACTTGTCGAATTGTCACTAGTCTTTATTAAGTAAAAACCCAGATTCTTAGAGTATTCAGTTTAAGACAGTATCAGTCCAAGAAGATATCTCATTTCAAGCATTAGTAAATTACCTTAAAGTAGTCAGAGTAGTGTCTAGTCCAGCCCCGAACATATCGGCGAGTAAATAATGAAGTTGTTCGTCAGTGTAGTATCTCAGACCAGCATCGTTCGTGTCTCGTCTTTTTTCTCTCTCAATAAGAAAACCTTGCATTAAGTTGGTGTAGTTATTGGTGTCAAGGTCCTCGGATCTACTTTTGTTCAACAATGCGTATTCCTCGTCGATCAGTTTTTGGTAAATGCGGTGCGTTTTACCCACGCCTTCGGTTAAGAAAGACAGCGTTCGCTTAAACATCGGCAGAAACCTGCGAAAAGTGAAAGTCAAACTTATCGATTATAGCCAAAAATCGAACAAAATTTTGATGAAAATTGGTCCAAATCATCCAAAATTTTTTTGATTGAAAATAGGTATAGTAAAAAATCAGAATGAATCTTTTTAAATTAAAGCTATAGAAGAAAGGAAAAGAGTTTTGCTAGTTTTACTCTTTGACATCGTGTCTATAAACTAGAGATGAGCAAAACTGCGATTCTCCAATCGCAATTGAAACTGCAATTGCGATTTTTGACTCTAACCTGCGATTGGGATTTTAATATTTAAATATTGTAATAGGTAAATAATTGTCTGTGTATGTACCTAGAGCTTAACAGTTAAAAAAGTTAATAAAAATCAGGTGTTAGGTTAGGTTAGGTTAGGTTAGGTTAGTTAGTTAGTTTTTAAGATTTTTTAATATCTGCACCACATAGCATTAAAACTTTATATGTTGCAACTGCTGCAACTTCACATACCTACTCTTTCTACGGTTCTCAGTTATCTAATTTTTTATCCAATTCTTAAAAGATCTTAAAGAATTATTTTTTTAAGGTGGCTGGCTCACCTCTATATTTTTTTTTCGGATAAAGAAACGAGATTTGGTACGTTGGTATGACATAAATCAGGAATTTTTGATTTTTTAACAACACCCTCGGTATTTTTATTACTTTATTCGATAGAACTTAAGCTTCATTCAGAACCTCGAAATCAGTGGAATAAATTAGTAGTTTCAATTAGCGTAGAAGTTTGTTCACCTAATTTTAATGTAAGCATTCAGAACGTCATAATTAGTGGTAGTAATTTTCAATTAGTGGAAAAAGTTAACAAACTTTTGACTTTTCCACTAATTATACTTTTTGCGAGGAATGTCATTTTGGCCTTTGATTATCACCCGTCAAGAAAAATTTTGGTTAGAAATCAAAAGTTTATTGTTTTATAAGCTAAACATTATGTTTTCTCTATGGATACAACAGACTACTGCAAGCGGTTGATAGGATATTTTATTAATTTTAATTGTGTTTTTTCAAAGTGTTTTTTAGACATTGTGAATGATCGTAAACTAAAAACTATAAAGTGTAATTGAAACCACTAATTTATTCCACTAATTGGGAGGTTCTGAATGAAGCTTTACACTCTGAACAGAATGACATATCATATATCAACTTTTGACATTTTCGCATATGGTTTAAGTGGAAATTGTAACATGCGGTTCATAACGACAATTTGACTCGAAATACGAAATGTGTGGTACCAAATTATTCGTAAAAAAATGTTTTTTCTAAATATGCTAATGAGCCACCCTCGTTCCATTTGAAAACATTGAGATATGATTAAAAATACGATTTGGGCATATTTTAATCGACCAGGATAACACACGAAAAACAATAGACAATAAATTTTCCCAGGAATCCTTGATTAATAAATTACTGTTTTTAAGACAGCCATGGCACTCTATATTGAAATTTAAAATACGCTTTTTCAGCGTAAATGTCACTAGTTGACATACGATATGCCATTCTATTCAGAGTGTCATTTTCTATCAAATAGCTCTAGGATATAAATAAATTAAATCAGAGAAAAAATTCAAATCGCAAATCGCAACTCCTTAAAATTCAAACTCGCAGATAGAAAGATCCTAATATCACGGTCCTAGGGGTTCTAGAAAATCGCAATAGCAGCAAAATCGCAACTATAATAATATTGGTTGCCTAAATTGAAACTCGCAAATAGCAGAAATCGCAGTCGCAGAGCCAATCGCAGGTTGCGATTTGTTGCTCATTTCTACTATAAACAGTGATAAGATAGGTTCAACTTTCTGTTAAATCGGAAATTATATTCCTAATTAATACTTAATTAACACCTGATTTTTGTGTTTAAGTATTTTAGTTACAAGAATAAAATAAATTTTGTTCATCCATAAATAAACAATTGTGACTCGCCGACCGTGTTTTGTAGTGGAAGAACGATACATAAGAAAAAGTATAGGTACCTTAAAAATGGTAAGAAATTTAAAGGACCAGCTACGCCTATATGCTTAACACCCTCTTCTTGAAGATGCTGAAGCCATACCCATGTTTCGTCGTCTTTATCCCAATATCTGCCAAATACGATTTCGTTAATAAAGGACCCGATAGAATGACGTAAAGGTTCCAGAGGATCTATTGGTTGGTTTCTGTCTAAGCCTTTAATGTACTGTAAAATTATAATGTGATGTCAAAATAAAATTTTAAATAAATTATGAACATACAGGGTCATTCATTATCAATGGTAGGCTAGATGTTTATGGAGAACTCATGATAAAAAAAATCATGAGAAATATAGAAATATCTGCCTCAGTTAAAATGTAGTACATTTCATTTCTTATTAAAAATGGAACACTCGATATTTATTATATTACAAAAAGTACCTACAGTATGTCCTGAGCTACAGGTTCTTTTTGAAAATTTTGCATTTTGGGACACCCCTTGTATCTCTGTTATTGTTAAAGGTACCGAGACGGTGAAAACTGTTTATTGTAGAACTTTTTATGTAGAATACAGTGGCGTAGTATGTAATTCTACAAAAAGAATATTTTTGAAGATATGAACTAAAGTTAAGTTTTCTTAAATGGAACACCTTGTATATTTATAAATTATATAATCTGGCTTGCCATAAGCTTTTCAAAAATATATATCACTCTACATTTATTTTCACTATTTACTGCAATATTTTAAAAAAATATATTAAAGGATCATATTTAAGAAACTAAATAAATTATATAAAGAAACTAATAAATTATTAAAAGTATACTGCTATCTGTCTCTTCTTTTATTTTGAGAACCACTAATAAATTGAAAAAGACTTACCTAACTCTCTACCGCTATTTGTAAATCCTGGAAGCTATCGTATCGGAATTTCTAAATATTCCTTGAGCTAATTTACGTAAAATATACTTTCAGCAAAAGGGGGCTTCCCTTCACAACTTAACTTGCAACGAAAATATTAGAATTTTGTTAAATTATTATTTCTCAAATCAAAGAATTGGAACCAATGGACAAAGATGATGGCCTCCCTGATTCTCGGATTTGTCTAATACTAAACAATGATACTAATACAATATGAACTAATACTATGAATTAATACAATGTCGAACACCTGGAAAATGCTTTAATAATGCAAGCTTTTAAATATTTGCAAACCAATCCCGTTATAAAAAAAAAGAAAAATATATTCAGAGATTCAGTGGTAACAGTTGAAAAGTAAAATATATCAATTCCAAATAAAAATTTAATATGTGAATGACTATTTTAGTAAATACCATTTTGATTTTTTGTTATTTATCACGGCCTACTAATATGAAAATGAAATATTTTAAATATTGCAGTAAATAGTGAAAATAAATATAGAGTGGGTATATATTTTTGAGAAGCTCAAAGCAAAGCGGATTATATAATTTATAAATATACAGGTTGTTTCATTTGAAAAAACATAACTTCAGCTCATTTTATGTAGAATTAAGTGCCGCAATCTGTTTTCCGATATCTCTAACAGATTTCGAGTTATTTGAGAAAATCTACAAAAGAAATATTTTTTTCTATTTTCCGAAACATTTAACACCAAATATCTCTGGAACAAAATTTGTGAATCTCAAAAAGGATACCGTTTCTGTAAAGTACAGATTCAGCGCTACAACATATTACGAAATAAGCAAAATCGATTTTCCAAAAATTTTCGAGAAAATTCCTCGGCATCCTGGTCGATTTTGTCAAAATCCGAAATCGTTCAGATCGCAACTAAAATATGCTCTGATAGCTCATTTTATGTAGAATTGTGCAGAAAACCGTTTTCCGATATCTCTAACAGATTTCGAGTTATTTGAGAAAATCTACAAAAGAAATATTTTTTTCTGTTTTCCGAAACACTTAACACTAAATATCTCTGGAACAAAAGGTGTGAATCTCAAAACAATACCGTTTTTGTAAAGTACACATTCAGCGCTACAACATATTACGAAATAAGCAAAATCGATTTTCCAAAATTTTTTGAGAAAATTCCTCGACACCCTGGTCGATTTTGTCAAAAACAAAAATCTTTCAGATCGCAACTAAAATATGCTCACTGATAGCTCATTTTATGTAGATCTGAATGCCGAAAACCGTTTTCCGATATCTCTAACAGATTTCGAGTTATTTGAGAAAATTTACAAGAGAGATCTTTTTCTGTTTTCCGAAACATTTAACACCAAATATCTCTAGAACAAAAGGTGTGAATCTCAAAAAGTATACCGTTTTGGTAAAGTACACATTCAGTACACTATATTCTACGTAAAAAGTTCTAGAAGAATCAGTTTTCACCTTCTCGACATCATCCGTAATAACGGAGATACGAGGGCTGTTCCAAATTGCAAAATTTTTGAAAAGACTCTGTAGCTCAGGAACGAAGAGGGCTATGAAAAGTTTGTTGACAGCATATTCCGTTTGACAAAAAAATGGCACAGGTTTGTGCAAACCGCACCCTTCTATCTTCACGAATATATACGATACCGTATGATTGCAACCAAAAAGGGACACCCTGTACTTAATGTAGAAATTAACACACTTGTAGAGGTTAAGGCCTTTTTATGCTTCTGTATACTATGTATATTTTATAGATCACTTACTTTTACAAATTCATTTAGATGTTTAATGATAAGTTGTTCCATATTCTTTCTAGGTCCAGTCTTCGACCCACCCATATTCCTTAAACAATTGTGCACAAACCGTCTCTGATCCTTCCATAAGGCGCCTTCGGCACATATCAATCCTGTAACCAATTAAATTTTCAAAATATACCTTTTCTGACCTTCCCCGTATAATTTCGCAGTAAGCAATATCAATGGTGTGGTCGTTTAAAGATTTTTTTCTGCGAAAAACACACACAAAATTGGTACTGAGAAAAGATGGGTCGACTTCTCGGAAAGTTAAATTAATGTTCAGTAGGGCACTAAGTCGAAAAGCTTTTTAAAAGCTCTTCTGAGAACGACGTCGAGGTTTACGGATTGAATTAGTGCCAAATTTGTGGCTGGACCGGAATAGAGGAATTTTTAAATTTTGTCTCTAGACCAGATCGAATATTTTAAATATTCCAGCTATATAGGGGTTGTATATTTCGCTATGAGGGTAGTATATTTCGACCCTAGAAACACGATTATAAGGTTTTTTTCGCGAAAAAAAATTGATATGGAATTTTTTTTAAAAAAATTTGGATTTTTTTTTATTTTTTAGTTAAAAACAATAATTTTCTGATAATATGACAACATAAATTGAAGAAATTAAAAGAAAGAAAACCTCGAAATATCTCGATTATTTTGGACTATTTTGGAAAACGGTAAAGAGAAAATATGTTTCTTTTGTCGAGATCTACCAGCCTGAAAATATTTGCACTTATTTAAGACTCACCCTGTATTAAACGGACTGAAACATTAAATTTTATTATTTCTATGTCATAGCAAAAGAAAACACTAATTTATCAGAATACACCAACAACTTTACTTTTAAAGGACGCGCGTTTTGCTAACCGTGGTTAGCATCATCAGCAGATCATTAAAATTAAACTATTTTTTTTTATTTTAGATTTAATCATCTGCTGATCATGGTATATCTTTTGGTATATTAGGCCAGACAATCTGGAGGTTGAGGTGGAAAAAATTAGTAGCCAACCGATCTCACTGGGAATGAGTAGATAATGATCTCCTATTTAACCCCTCAAAAGTTCCATTCGGTTTCAGTGGGGGAAGTTTGAAAAAAAATCGCCGCCAGGATTTTTTCATTTTTTTCAAATATCTCCGTTTGCATAACTTTTTTCGAAAAAACTAAAGATATGTTTTTTTTGTGGAGAATTTAATTTAGAATATTTTACCTTCAATCATTTTTTTTTCTAAAATTAATAGTAATAGAGATAGAGCAATTTTTTACTATACGTTTTATAAATTTTCCAGTTTTTTAAACCAATCAGCTATATTTTTTGCGTTAACAGTATAGTGTTAATATAGATAAACCAAGTATAAATTTAAGCATTAAAGCAATTAAAAATAACGTTGAAATACTATTTATTAAATTAAATAATTGTTAATAAATTATTATTAAATTAAAGTTATTAAATAAAATCTGCTATGGCGTCATCCTGAGCGTCATTTTCCACTTCAACTAAAATACAAAAGTTTGTGCAACTGATTCCGTTGCACTGACAACACTTTGCAGAACGTTTAAGACCCAGTTTTCTACAAGAGCAATTTTTAGAGCACTGACTCTCTTTGCAATTGCAAAAAAATATTTTAGTAGGTCAGGAAGCGCCATGTTGATTGAATAGGTGTCAGATTGCCTTTTGATTTTTCTTCCATCCATATTGTAAAAGATCTTACTTGTTACCAATCCCTTCTTGAATCTCAAAAATATAACTTACAACATTTCCTATAATAGATATATCTGTACAGTTACCTGATGTCCCGAGTAAATGGAGTTTTGCAGAGTTCTCAGTTGGAGGCTAATTAGCTAAATTAAAGGTAGTCTTAAGGGCTTGTCCTGATGTAACCCTATTGTATAGAGTGTATCTCAGATGATTAAAATGTTTAATATAGCTTGGGCAGTGGTTTAGCTTTAAAAGATAATTTAATCCTGACTGAAACAAGTCATCTTTGTTAGCATTTTTTTCTAAAAATACGTCGAGGTATTGATAAAGATCGTCATCTTTTTTCATTATCGACAGGCACATTTTTGACTTGTTCCAGTCAGGATTAAATGATTTTTTAAAGCTATATCACTGCCCAAGCTATATCAAACGTATTAACCATCTGAGATACACTCTATACAATAGGATTACATCAAGACAAGCCCTTAAGACTACCTTTAATTTAGCTAATTTTCCTCCAACTGAGAACTCTGCAAAACTCCATTTACTCAGGACATACTATCAGGTAACTGTAAAGATATTACAGTTGAGGGTTGGAACCTTTGGTGTTACACAGCAAAATAAAAACACTAAATCACCACAATACACCAAAACACTTTTACTTTTACACTCGACGCGCGTTTCGCTAACCATGTTAGCATCATCAGCAGATGATTATAAACTTTTTGATAAACTAAATAAATTAAATAAAATAAAATGTGTTACATGTGTTGATTCCGTTGACGTCGACTTGCAATGAATTTTTAAAAATTAGTTGCGATGGATACAGTAGTTCTGATTCTTAAGAGAGAAAATGGTACACAATTTGTACATTACTGATGATATTTTCCAAGCTTTGGATAACGGAGACTGTGCTGCTCTAGTAATGCTTGCCGTTAGTAAAACTGTCGATGCTATTGATCATAAACAATGCTATTGATCTTGAGATCTTATGGTGTCTTTAAGGAGTCTGTTGATTTGGTTCAGTCATATTTATGCAACCGTACTCAAAAAGTGAAATTAAATGGGAAAACGTCTCATACAGGCGTACTTTCCAGGGGTGTTCCGCAGGGATCAGTCTTTGGACCATTATTGCTTGGTTTACATACAAGTCAGTTACATAGGTTTGTAAAGTTCTACTTAGAAAAAAGCTTGGGTATTTTTTCAAGAAGTGAACCCGCGGTTCAGTATGTGTCAGTTGGCTCTCACTGGCGAATGATGAAACATGCATGGAGAACTAATATCAGTTTCTCAAACCTGTATCATTGGCATCGCAGAATATGATTCAAAAGCATCGGCATTATTTTACTAAAAGAGTTTAAGATAGATGGTTATTCTGATATGCAATTTTTTTCTGTATAAATGGTAAATGTTTTATTTTTATTTTTATTATATACATATATATAATAGGTCTAAAAACCTAAAAGGCTCATGGCTTGATTGGTTATCTTTCTCCATTTGTTTCTGTTTTTCGCCTTTATTCTCCACCCATCCACTCTTAGCCTTATCAAGTCCTCTTCTACATCCTTTTTCCATCTGATTCTCGGTCTACCCCTCCTTCTCTTTTCCACCTATTTCACGTTTCATTATCATACTAGGAATCCTTGCTTCGGCCATTCTTTCAATGTGTCCCAGCCATCTCAGTCTTTGTGCTCTTGCTACTACCGTTATACTCGGTGCCCGATATAGTTGCTTTAATTATTCATTTGTTCTTCTGGTCCATATGTTGTCTATCTTCTTTCCTCCAAAAATCTTTCTCAGTATTTTTCTTTCCCAAATCTCTAGCCTCGAACTTTCCGTTGCATTGAACGTCCACGTTTCACATGCAAACAGCACTATATTATTAGCCTTATCATTGTTTGGCACATTCTGATTTTTAAACTTCTAGAAATGTTGACACATCTATTTCCTGCCATTATTCTTGCCATAATTTCTTGAGTTACATTTGGATTCCTTAGAACTAGAGCTCCTAGATATGTGAATATATATCTACTTCCTCAAACTTGTATCGTTTACCGCTCTCAGAATTCATTTGTAGACATCTTCCCTTCTCAAAATCCCTATCTGACCACTCCATAAATTTCGTTTTCTCCTCATTAAACACTAAGCCTACTTTTTAAGCTTGATTTTCTAGTCTTTTGGTCACCGATATCAGCTCTTTCCCATCTTTTGCTAAGATAACTAAATCATCGGCAAAGGCTAAGCATTGGTGTCTTTGTATACAGAACGCCCTCTCTGTTGATTCCCGCATCTTTTATAACTTTTTCTAATACTACACCAAACAGTACTGGAGATAGTGAATCCCCCTGTCTTAATACTTCTCTGATTATAAATTTTTTCGTTGTTTTCTTGTTTACTTTGACTTCATTTACTGTCTCTTGGATTGTCAATTTTATCATCTTGGTCCGTTTCTTGCTAACCCCAAATTCTGTTAATGCTCTAAACACCTCCGTCCTTTTAACTTTGCCATGTGCCTGCCGAAAGTCGATAAATAGAAGCTTTGTCTGTTTTCGGTATTCATAACCATATTTTTATATTTTACAAAATTCTCGAATAAACATGGACACTGGAATGAAATGACCCCGCGCTTAGATTTAATTTTGATCTAATGTTTCCGTGAGTAAAAGAGTGGTACATAATAATTATAAATCACTGCACGTGTTTTAATATACGTATACCGATTCGAGGTGAGTCACCGCCGAGAAAACCTCATCACGAACACGAACGCATGCCGAACGTCCAGAAATCAAAACAGAGCAAAGAACTCTTGGAGGACGACACGGCGGCACCGGCGAGCACGTGATCTTCAGGTGGTGCAAGCTCCATTTCACGTGGTCACCGCAAGCTCGTCTTCCTATTAAAGCGCCTCAATATTCTTAAACGATCATATACGTAGTTAAGTCTACGTAAAAAGCTTATACATTTTAATATTAAATATTAATGTGATGTTGAAAATATTATACGTTGTAAAATAAAAGAACTACGAGTAGACCATAAACTTATCTAATTTCTATATTTTTTTTTGGAAAACGTCAAGTAAAATTAAAGCTAACGATAGAGATATAAAAAGACGGTCTAATTTTGATTCTTATACAGGGTGTTCTAATGTTCTGTGGACATAGAACTACTATGTATTTTTGGATAAAATTATTACCTCTATACAAAAGTGCTTCATTTGTCCATTACCATCAAACTCTAAAAAAATAAACACATTTTTTAAGATATTTTTAGAATGTTTTGTGTCTTATAAAAACGTCATCGCGCATACTTTTGGAGAAAAACAAATGTTTTCCCGAAGCTGAGTTACAAAAAATGTTTCTGATCACATCAAGCTATGTAGGAGCATAAAATCTAATAAGCGCTAACAATCTAGATGG